ATATATGTGCTAACGACAATTACAATTTTTACATCCTTCAACATGTTTACCACCAAAGATTTTTTAATTTTTTCTAAAAACTGCTTTTCTGTTCTTTCTAGAATGTCAGGCGCTATTTTTGTATATACATGTGTTATTTTTATTTTTAGTTCATCGGCAATGTGAACAAAGGTTTTACAAGCCGTTTGTGTTAACCAACCCAACAAAAACAAGTCATAACTGGAGAAGTCAGGTCCTCGGGATTATGTTACTGGACCGCAGCGTCCAATTCACTGATTACTATAAAATTTTTTATTAGTTTAATATTTTAATAGTAAGATTATTATAAGTAATTTAATTTATAATATCCTTATAAATATTCCTACTGAGCAATCTCCTCACGATGTACACCGGGTAACGCTAGTGGCGCGTTAACTTACAACGTTATTATCACAAAAACGTGTTATGCTGAAAAACGAACTTTACTGTTTTGAAAACGTTTGAATAACAGCTATAAGGATATCTATAAGACACTATGGTGTTCCATTTAAAGAAATTAACCTAATTTTTACGGGTCATTTCAAGATCACTTCAAGGTTAACCCGTTAACTCCCAGTGGCTTCGCCTTAAAACGTGTTTCAATATCAGTAAAACACGAACCAGTGGAGTAATCGCGAATCTATGAATATAAAATTGATATAATAATCGCCCTCTTTTAGTAGGTAGCGCAAGTTTTATTTTTTATGGAAATATTTATCTTTGTTAAAAATGATAAGTTACTTAACGTATATTGTGAAACTTTCCAAAAGTTTTTATTTAAGATCTAAAGAGTTAAACAAATAAAAATACAAATTTTGTCCGAAACATTTTATCACATACTTACGTATGTAAGTATATACTTTTCTAAAAAATTGCCTTATTAAAATTACATTTTGATGGTCTGTTCACGGCAGTCACTTTAAACTGAGAATTGCAAAGCTCGATCTGCGAATCGAACAAGGCGGAGAGGCGAGACTCGCTGAATTGATTCTTTAAGTACTCAACTGAAAGTGTTGAGTGCGTACCAATTAAAAAATTAATCTTTTCCACTATATTGGCACCATTACTGTGATTTCCGTGATATACTTGGTTGCTATGATTACATGGGCAATTTACATTACCACCCAATTTACATTACCAAATTATGAAGAATTTCAAAATGTGAAATTCAACTGTTAGAAAGTTTAAAGAAATACAAACAGATAAATTGATGAGTCTGTACAAAATTTCTATTTTCGGAATTTTATTACAAATGCATGCTTTAAGATTTGATGGATAATTTAATTTCTTGAACTTCTTCAAACCTTTATCAGTACGATTAACTAGGAAAGTTAGTCGTATTTGAAATGTTGTCTATTATTACAGAAGAACTATATTCATATCAGTAAAACTTTAAGTAACTGAATTGTTGAAAAAAAAACTAATTGTGAATTTAATCTGAACATTTTAAAAATCTATTAAAAAATTATGAACAGTTTATTTCGATTAGAATACTCTTGTCGGGTCAAAATTAATTTTAGTACAGAGATGACTTCTGGGCTAACAGCACAGGGACAAGAGAGGTCTTTTGCTATGAACTATATGCTTTGTTCACTCTCATCGTCACGCAATCGGATTAGTAGGGCAATGACACCTAATGTGGAACACCTGATTTGAAAAGCTTGCTACAACGAGAGATATGCATCTTTTTCAATGAAGTCTGCATCAAAACACGAAGAAACGAATAAACATTCACACACTGATCAGTAACAATGCAAAAATTTAAATGCCTTCAAACCACGGTAAAAAATATAAATAAAGTCAAAGACAGTAATCTGAAAAAATGGCTCCTGATATGGAACAGCTAGGTAATTTATAAATAAAACTCATTTTTATTACGAAAAATGAATATTTATAGAATTAAAAAGAATAATTAAACGAATTTTCCACTTTTTTCAACTTATATTATGTTAATTTTTTTCTTTTTTTTCTTTTATATATTGGATACATGAATAACATCAGGACTAGTACATTCTTCGTGAACATAATGCATTGGGCTTATTTTTTCCCATTATTATCATTTTTGTAATTTGCCAAAATAAAAATATGAAGCGTGTTCCAAATTAGAAATTCACGTATTCCGATAGAAAAATAATAACTATTCTAAGAAGAAAATAAATGTCCAGCGAATTGCTTTTGACTAGTGAAAAATAAACATGTTCAATGATAGATCATGAAGAAAATTTAACGTACTACTAAACACTATTACTTAACACAACTATTAATACGATTGTTTTCTGTTACTAAAGAAGTATTTCCCATGGTAGTTACTTCTTTTCCGAAATATCCTGGTGTTCCATATTAGGCGCAGTTACCTTATAGTGACAGTTCCAGCAAATAACACGTTAGAATCAAAAATACAGGCGAAAATAGACGTACCTTCTTCCACTTTGACCAATCACGTCCACATTCTTTTGTAATTCAATCCCTCTGTCAATTTGTCATCTCCGTATAACACATAGTTTCCAATTCTAAACTGACATATAAACACAAATGAAACGTCGACTGGGTATATTTTTAAGTAAACAAGTGTTAATTATCGTAACATCAGTTTATTAGAATTCTGATTATCATTCCACGAAAAAAATCTAATTATTCGAAGTCTGGGGTTACTGTCGTGCAATTAACTAGTTAACTGCGTTTGACGAACATACACGCCGTCTTAAAACTTGAAATGATACTTTCTTTCAATGATCAACTCTTTATTTTTTCATACAAACATGTAATTCTTCTTTGTTTTGTTTTGGTCTTTCATTAAAATATACCCTAGGTGTATTCGTCCTGCATTTGACGAGTACACACTTCATTTTTTTATTTTATTGCATGCAAAATGAGAGATTTTTGAAACTAAATTCCACAGTTAACAGGTTAAGTACAATCCCCTTAGCTGTAAGCATTCCAATTTCATTCTTTACGTGGCCAAATCATTTTAGGAGAACGCCCTTATTTTTATGATAATGCAACGTTGAGCTACTTGCTACCTTAACTTTCACTCGAATCTTTAAAATAAATATCCTTGTACTATCCGATAGTTGAAAGACACAACTTGACCATCAACCATCGATCGGCGACAATTACACTCACTTTCATTTAAGACTGCATGCAATCCCTATCATAAATCTGTTGAAAGCTGAATGGTAACGCTCTTCATAGACATATTTAACCCTTTGCACTCCAAAAATTTATCATTAGAAGTATTCAATGAAATCTATTCACAAATTAAGGGGAACAAAGGTATTTTATTTACACATTTCACGTACCGACACATTACTTAAGACTTAATATTAAATACGAAATTTTACAATTTTTATGTTCCAATCGAGTAATGACTGAGAGGCACCTGTAGAATGTAAAGGGTTAAACCACTTCTCTATAATAATACACTACATTCACATTGTATCTGTTAGGTCATCCCATAAATAATGCGGTTTTTTATATTTCTTTTATATCTAAAAGTAAAGATATACAAAATTATTTTTACTCTAAAATAGATTTTCTTTCATTATCTATACATTATTTATCTACGTATTGTAGTTACTTTAAAAAATGTTTTGTTTATTTTTATTTTTAAAAATAAAAAAGATACAAAAAACTATATTATTTATGGAATGACCAAATACAATACGTATATTCTTGTTATATTAGCGAATTTGTATATCTAATAAACAGATATTTTTATCCATGAATGCAGAGAATAGAATGTACAATTACATTATATTATAAACACGGAATTCCGATTCGCTGATACACATCAAACAAATTTAGTACCGTCCTTTCTAGTAAATAGTCTTTTTACGAATTATAGAATTTAAGTAGATAATAAAATAAAATAAAGGAATGATTGTATTGTACTTCCTTGTCGAAGCGTGATTCTACATCTACACTAAAATTTACCTCCGCGACAAGTAGAATGCGATGGTGAAATAAAAAGTTGCATCCCTTTTTCTCAAGATCAAAGAGAATTTTGCGGCAACTTCTTTACCTCGATCTCCATCAAACCGAAAGTGTAAAATCACACTACGACAAGAAGGGACAATCATTTCTTTCCACTCTGTATAATTATTAATGCTGCTTTACGTTTTTTAAAACTTACAATACAGTTTCCTAATTTCCTGATTATGGATTTTCATGAAATTCAAATATAATGTAGTTTTCATAAAAATACCTGTCACGTATGTTTTTTATCGACACTCGACTATGTTAAAGGGGTGAAAACTATCCTGAAAATTGGGATACCTTGGAAACTATTAAAACTAGTATAACTATTTTTATTATTAATAGTACTAATACTCTTATTATTAACAGTTTTTATTATTAACATTTATTTATATTTATTACTCATATACATTGAAAATTCTATATAGTTGTGTAGGTACATGCAAGAACACAATGAAATCAAATATTTTTACGAACTTAGAGATAGATTTTAAATTAGTTGCTATCGTGAGAATAAAATATGCAATCAAAGGGAAAATTTTCTATACAGTGTCAAGTTTTTACACATTCCATTCTGACAGAATGAATTTGTATAAAAATCCGCAACGTAATCACAATTCGTACTCGGGTACGTTGGCATACTTCAATGAACAGAGTCAATGTAACAACTATGTATTTGAACAGTAATAGATATTGTATGATGTTATTATTGAAAAGCTAGTATGGAAACGATTTCATAACATATTTAGTCCCTCACAAAATATTTAATCGTTTTAAGATAACACAGACTCTATGTATTACTATTAGTGCAATAATATTTTCTAATAAAAAAAATTCAATAAAATTTTCTTACCTGTATACAGTCAATACATGTAAATACAATAAATTTTATTAATTTCAAAATATTTGATAAAAATATGATGTTAATGTCACTTTATCATATTGATATTGCCTATATTGATATTTATAACTGTGATCTAAAACATCACTCATTTTTCATTTTACAGAATCAATTCCTCACGATGAGTAATCGCTGAAAGTGACAGATAATCAAACGAAGGTAAAAGAACCTTCACACAGAATGTCGAGAATATTAAAGGGAGTTGATGAACGCCCCATGGACCCGGGGCTAAGACTCGGCACCACTTGAATGCAAAAGAAAAAGGTCAGTGTAAAGGACTTTTAATTCATTAAGTAACCTGCATTGAATTTTGCGTTAAAATGTTTAGGTCACGAACTGAATCAATCTTGTGCAAATCCGCTTTAGATTGTAAAGCTCATGATTAAATTGCGGAGCACGTTTCAACCGCACAAATTGTTCATCAAATTAATCAGTTAATCTGAAAGAAACCTACAATTAAAGCTTATAAATTAACTTAAATACAGAGTACGTAGATGAAACAAGTAAAAAACAGATGATTTTAAATGCAAATGTAAATCGCATATCGCAAATGTTTAATCGATGAACATTCATATTTAATTTTTTGAAAAATCATTTTTTGAAAATACCCCAGATACTACTAGTTGGTTCTAATTTAATCGCTGTGATCAGCTAAAAATTCTATAAAATTAGAGTATATACATGTAGATTCATTTATATAGTGACAGACAAAAATAGTTTTTGTAAGAAAAATCCGTAATAGTTTTAATTTTAATTACATTTTAATGGACATTAAAGATGAAATTTATATTCCATAGTATAGCAATTTTAATAAAAATTTATAACATTTTAATACCTTAGGAGAATAAAAGTATTTGTTTATCTAATGTTTATTATCTGCTACCTAGATAAATTAATTTCAGTATATCGTAAATCATATTATCGAAAACCATGTTTACTATTCCACCGTAGTAAATTTACACTTAAATTAGTAAATTAAGAATATAGACTTTATTTCTTTATATTTGACAGTATTAAGCACTACGTTAAATATTACACAGTAATGATTAAAATAAAATTATTAATTTTTTAGATGCAACTATTTATTTTAACACTATTTCTACCGAAGGTGTCAAAAGACACCTTTTGAAACTTTTAACTTAAAATTATTTCGCAAAGTTAGTCGTATATTCTGAAATGACTTTTTGTCTTTTCTAATAACGTTTACAAAATTAACCATAGAAAATGTTCAAAATTCAAGTGAGGAAGAATGACTAAACTGAGAAAATAATTGTAAGTTAAAATTTTAAAAGGTGTCTTTTGACACCTTCGGTAGAAGTAGTGTTAAAAGTTTCTTACTGTCCAAATATTTATGTCCATTATTATATGATATTCACTTATATGTTCTAATAACTCTCTATATGCCTATCTTATATAAATAAAATAGTTAAAAACAAGATTATGCTAACAAAAATATATTTGTGATGAAGTACAAATGAGCAGGTCGCGGGATGGGCAAATCTTGGCTCTTGGTCCTGTTTCCTGCGACAATGACGACAATGACCATGATGGCGTACTTCACCGTAACAACGGCTACTCCTACTTCAGTGTCGTTTATCTCTACTACAACCAAAACCGATGCTCCCGACACAAAAAAGGTGAACACGTCTGCAATTTTAAATCTATGAATTTCTTTCAATTATTTCATATCATCGTTTAAATACATTCATTGTTTATTTGCTTAACAATAATTTTGAAGTTAAAATGAATGGCATTAACGCTTATTTTCATAGACTATTTATTAAGTTAAAATATATATTATAAAAATATGAACCATTAAATGTGACAGTATTCATTTGAAAATATTAGGTCATTTAAATGTTGAATAGATGTTAAATAAATATTAAAGTATAATATCAGAGAAGGAAGTATTCACAACGAATCACATATTCTGAATATTTTTCAATTTCAATATCAAAAACTATCCACGTGAAAGAAAATCTGATTACCCTGAACGTTATGAAAAATTATAAGTTATCATTAGTTTTTGATAAGATTGATGAGGTGAACGTTAGGTTGACCATGCGACAATACACAGACTTCTGGTCGAATGCGAGGGAACGCCATGGGTGCGAGCAAAGTAAGAGAAAAACAATAGAAGAATACGCAGGAGCGAACGCGTCCCGGATGACGCTCGTCTGTTCATCGCGTGCTTGTTGCGGCGTTTTATATAAACGCCTCAACAGTTTTCAGTATACAAGTGAATTATTTTGATAAAACCATTATTGTAACATAATCTTCGAACGAGCACCATTGTTTCGTCTCGCACTAGCTTTATATTTTGTAATGGTTCGTTATAAATATAATCTAATTATAATCTAGGTGCTAATTCACTTTACAATATTGGTACACAAAAATACTTCCGCTGACATTTACGCTTTAATTTTTTATTAACGCGTTGAATGCCGCATGATTTCACAGAGCAAAATTAAAGAAATAGGAAAAATATAATATTTAATCATTTGATTGAATTGCATTATCATTACTGATATATAGAGTGGACTATAGGAATTCAATTTGGTTGGGGGTCACCGGTGATCCCCATGGCATTAACGTGTTATGTATCAATTTCATAATTTCATCAATGCTCTAATTGTCTGAAATATGTGATACGTAGCTTGATAAAATTCGTGATTTAAACAGCAAAAATATGCTACAGTATACATCAAGATCCAAAGAATTGGAAAACTAATATATTTTCTGAAATGTATTATCACAGTTTCATTTGAACATAGTAGGACAGATCGAGGCAAACCGGATAAAAATAAGAATATTGAACGTATTTGTTGCATTGTTATAGAAATAAGCATGCTGACCATCTATATTTCTTCATACACATTCTCTATATTTAATCCAATACATCTTTAATTGTTTCGAACCGTTGTTTGCCATCAGCACTTGTTAGAATCGAAGCGAACGTAACGTATTCGTCGCTAGTCTAAAATACGTATGTAGTTGGAATTTCACATTTAAAATAGCAAGCTAAGCTTGGAAATTCAAATATGTTTATTATATGTTTATCATTAGCCCTTAAGATGTCTAAATTCAGTACTTAATGCACTTTAGTTTATTATATTGTATTTTGTTCAATTATCGTATTCACTTTGAAATCCTTAGAAACAGGGCTATTCGGATCAGATCGTGCAGGGTGAATCGCATTACTATTTTTTCTTCTTTTATTATGTCTCTGATTACAAATATCATGATAATTTACATATAGATAGTGCATACGTGTAAAAAAGACACACCATGGGATCACGAAGCCCAAAAAAATTAAGGATACAATAATAAGAATTAATTCGGAAGAACTAACCAATGCATCAAGCTCCGGAAATTTATCGCATACTTTTTACCACCCAAAGAAGACTTGTGGCATAATTAAAAAACCCAATTTTACATTTGACATCACCTATCAATAAAATGATACTTCTTGAAAAACAAAAAAATAAGTTAAAGACTAGGCTAAAGAAGAACACTGTTAAAAGAAGAATAAAAACTAATAAAGACGAATGAGTTCATATATAAATACAAGATCTTCTAAAGAATAATATTGCATTTATTGCAATAAAGAATTTCGATGCAGTCTTTGCGAAGAGTCGTATTACGAAAACTATGCTAATAAATGTAGTGTTAAAAGGTAGTATATTTGCAAGAAAAATGTCAATAATTGATTATATTATAATTAAATTGTACAATTTTTTATTTAACCGAAAATTTTTACAAGAAATTGAATTCCGCTCTAGATTCTCGCTTTATCAGCGAAAAACTAATTGTTAAAACTTCGAATGAAAATTCTTTTTTATAAATCTGTTATTAATATATACTCAGTTTTAATATTAGTAAAAAAAATTTTTTTAACTGAAAAATGTTTGCTTGCAAAACGAAGATTTTTAAGTTTTTAAAACCTTGTTCTTACGGATATTGAAGCCGAATGCGTATTAATAAGAAATCTATGGAGAAAAATGTTGGATCTAAATTTTAACTATTAGTTTTTCGCTGTTAAATCTGAACTGGTCCGATTCGCTTCGGTCTACTCTACCTTCTTTCTAAAAACGTTGACGAACATAGAAACTGTTTCCACCAAGATATCTGTGAAATGGAGAAACATTCTAATGGAGAAATAGTGTCATAACGCTGGCGGTCTATTGTTCACAAACAAAAATGGAAATGAAAGGATCATAATATGCGTCAAGCAAAAATAAAGCACTTTTGGGAATGTATACCTTTAGTGCCCTAGTTTTTGTTAGAAAGTAGTTCATAAATAACAAAATACAATGCTACAACAAAGTGACATCGTTTCATGCATTCAGCTGTTCCGTTACGCTGAGCTGCAAAGGGAGACGATCATTGACTCAGACTTGAGTATCAGTGTCATAGTTCTATGTTTTGTTGAACTCTTTCGTTTCTGTAATAACAAAACACGATTTGAAACTACTCTTAACTCCTTTTATGGGAAAAACATTGTTTTTGTTGTCTGGCGTAATTAAATTTTACAATAACAGTTAGAAATCAACGTGAAATCATAAAAAAGTGAGATTTTGCTTAAAGGCTCATACATTTGTAATCAGTTAATATTTAAAAAATGTACTGTAGGATTTTACTCACAAGATTATAATCTTTTGAAAAATTATGAAAAAATTTGCCAGATCTTATAAAAGTAAAATTAACTTAGAGACTTCAATTTGCGATATTTTCGGGTAGAGTATATTACTAGAAATTAAAGCAAGACATTATTTCGGAAAATAAAATTGTAAAAAATCTATAAAAATAAATTATGAACAAATTACAATATATATATTACAAGGAACAAATTTTGCTATAATGTGGTTGGTGCTCTCCACACACTGCTTCTTATTAAATATTTCCGAAATACTAACTCGAACGGCGATGTGAATCATTAATATTATGTAGGTTTACGGAACGCGTCAATTTAACACAGTTACACAAATGTGCATCCTAATTGTCTAGTTTTAAACTTCTAATTTCTAAGATCTAAATGAATGAATTTGTCAGTTTTGAATAATTTTTCTAAAAACAATAGAATAAACTGTACAATAAATGTTCGTAAATCTAGTATTAACCACGGGGAATGGCATTTAAAAAGTTGGTACTTCATTATAAATACTTACAGGTTTTTTTAGGTGCAAGATCCAAGCAGTCTGTCCTCTCCATGTTAGATAAATTGAACAATTTTTCAACAGGACTTAATAATCGATATTGCTGACTGACGGTTAAGCAAAAACATTCGTTGAATTTAAATTTCAATTTGCAGAAATCTGCAGTTCCTTCACTTGGTTTATTCAAGAAATACAAATAGGAAGAAAAAAATTGTAAATTTGTATCAAGTACAAAAAAATATAATATAAGTTACACCTGCCGAATATTAGAAAAGAAAACATATGTTCAACAGTACAATTTCACTTTAGCGAAATGAATTATTTTTTATAGTGAATAATATAAACAGGGCAGTCTGATTAATATAACACTTTTTGTTATGATTCATTTTAATACTATGAGATCAATGGAAACAAATGCTGCATATTTTACGATTTTACACACTTAACACTAGAACTACCGAGCATTTAATACAATTGATATGCAATGCTTATAAAAATTGTAACAATAGATTATCTTCAGTTTCTTCAAACATTCATTATAGCATTTAAGATAAACTATTGATTTTCAAGATCATATTGAATATTGAATGTTCTGAAGATATTAATAATTGCGAAACAAAAAAATTGAAACCTGTCATTCTAACTGGTACCGTAGTTCTAGTATTAAATTAATATTTCGTTATATAGGTTTTGTATAGGTACTATTATTGAAGTATTATTGAAATATTATATATTATAAAGATGGACATCGAAGAAGCTCTGGACGTAATAGAAGCGGCGTCAACTGGATCATTGGGTGACTATTGCGCCACCACTGCTGGATTTAAGTCTCTACCAGCTGCTGCAGCCCTCGATCCACGACGTTACGACACCGCACGTCAGAAAGCCGACATGACAGCTCTGATGCTCCAAAATTCGGGAACAATGGGAGTATTAAGGCATAATGGTGAGTTGTAAATAAGTAACAAATACTGTAAGAAAGTACGAGCGAGTAGAGAAGTTGGAAAACATTATACTCTTATAATATTATAGTAATCGTGTAATAGTGTAATACTATAAATTAATAATTATATTAACATCTTTGCGATTGCTGTCGTAAATTCACGTCTCTTCAAATGTTTTGTTTCAAAATATTTTACTTTCCCGTTGTTTTTCATTTGCGACTTTTTTAATGGGATGTTCTTCATTTAAACCCCTCACCTTATGATTTATTTCTTAACTGCGATCGATACAATTACTTTATCGTTAATAGTTTATTATTAGGAGAAGACTAAATTTTGATGCTTATTTTATGTTTATGTTTATTACTTAATTTAAATTATAAAAATTATTACTTAATTTAAATTATAAAAGTTAAATAACGCTTAATATTGTCAAATTCAGTTTCAAGTTTTCATCACCAGTCTCATACGGCATTGTAGGTCAAAGGGTTAAACAACAGATCGTTACAAGACTAATAAATATTTCAAAATAAATTTTCTCATTTTTGTCCTTCTTTTAACATCAGAAATTGACGAAAATAAAAAATATTTCTGATACTGTACAAATGATACGTAATATTAAATACAATAATAAACAAGACGTAATTTTCTTATTTATATCGTGTAAAGACACTTTGTTATAAACTTTAATTTCTTAAAATTTTTATATAGAAGACGTTTTTAATTTCCATAGTGGAAGTTATCTATTTCTCAAAGCAATTCATATGTAGGCAAGTAATAGGCATCCACAAAATAAACGTATTTTATTTTACCAAAGTTACCATTACCACAAAAATTATGATATGGGTGTTATTTTTTCACTGTTCACAATACATCATAGTAGTAAGATATCTATTACAGTGTCATTTAATTAATATCATGATGAGAAAATGAAAAACAAAAGCAATATGTTTTAATAATAAAGTGTAGTATACAAACAAATTAATAATTCATTTTAAATTCTTACTATTATAATTAAATTGCAGTTGTATGGATTGAAAAACGATATAATAAATTCATTATTAACGTTTATTTTACACACTTCAACAGTTACATACCGTGATATGAAATATAAAGTACACTCTTACGTTACATACCCTTTCATAACAAAATACAGCGTGAAGTTGGTATAAACTACTATACATAAACAACATTATAATAGCGAATAATATTAAAATGTCATATTAAGTGTAATTATGTACTTGTATTTTTAATTAGCTTTTTCTGAATCTCTACAGGCTGCCAAAAACTGTACTTAATACTTGTGCGTTTTTCTACTTAATCAATTTGTTTTTCGAAGAGTATGTCTCTTAATTACTCAATTACTTCTATCGAAAAATGTATAAAATTTAATAACTAGAAATACGTGACACTATAAATATTAAAATAATTTACCAATTCTGTTGGTCTACAGTTAAATAAATGAATCTCTGAACGTCAGAGAAGTGTCCCATCGTTTGACAATTCGCTAAAATCCGTTTATTCAAACACTTACACGTACTTATTAATTTAATGGCATACGAAAAACTCTATTGTGCTTACAAAGAAACGAATGGTAAATTTATTAGGTTCAGAAATAAATCCTTCCGTTGTAAATATGATTTTCTGTCTCCACTGTTTCGTTATCAGTTGAAAACTTAAGTTGAAAAAGAACTGAAATTGAAACTCGATACTATCTTGGAAACTTGAAGACGCGATGGTAAATTGAAAGGGACGCGGCTGAAACTCATATTGCAATTTCCAGAGAGTTCCGTTAAAGTGTTCGAGTTGGCACCTTTTCCGTGGAAACAATCCACCCGAACCTCGCATATCTCAAACCATATCGCGAGCACCGTGCGCCAAACAATTTACATATCACGTTTCCTTACAGCACCTGTTGCATGTCAATCTACTACATACGAGTTCCAGTTTTTTAAAGTATTCAGGCCACGGTGACTCGACGTTAGATGAAATAAACAGCAATGTTTAATTCACCATTTTAAACAATACGAATAAAGCGTTTCCTGTGAGCACGGTATTTCGAAGTTACCCAACGGAGCAAAATATGTAAATTTCTACAGATAGAAACGGAAAATTCTGTTAACTCTATAAATAGTAACCGTCAATCAATCGTGTTAAACAGCGTGAATGAAACGTGTCATATCTACACTGTGTTTTAAAATTACGCAAGAAAACGCACACCTTTTCCTCACGACGAAAGGAAAATCTTTTCGTTTAGAATGTCCATTTTTAACCCTTTTGGTTACGATGGACATGATATCTCGGTTCCACAATGTCGTGTGTACAGTGATGTTGCCGAGATATCTCGTCACTATGATTCTATTTCTTTAGACACTCATTATAGTATTCAAGTAAAACTGTTTGTTTTCAAGATCATTTCGAATATTCAATGCGTCTCCATATAGTAATCCTTCATAACTAAACATCATGTACAAAATATACTATTTATTATGCAACTTAATTGTGACAGTTGAATAAACATTTAAATTTAACGTTTTTTGAAACGAAATTTGGTTGACAACGAAATTTTAAAAGCTTACAGTTCTACTTTTATATTGCCTATTCAAAAAATTCCGAGACAAATTATGTGAAATATAAGTGGTTCATTTATACTGCAATATCTATTCGGTTACCTTCAAAGTAATCTCCATTGCCTAGAATACACTTTTGCCAACGGTTTTTCCAATTTTCACAGAGTCGTTGAAACTCAGTTTCTGTAATGACGTTCAGCTCATCTAACGAATTTTGTTATCGCCACAATCGATTTAGAACGGCCTTTTCACGGGAAGTTTCAGTTTGGAAAGCATGAAAAAGTCACGCTGCGCTTAAGCTAATGAATACGGTACTTGCGGGACGAGAACAATTGAATTTTTTATTAAAAAGTTGCGAACAATCGTCAGAGCGTGAGACGACGCGTTACACTTTCGACGCGATGAAAGTCGCTAAATGTTTACATCTCCTTTCACATAAATATCTTTAACACTAAAATTACCGAGCAGTAAGATTAACAGTTTTGTATCTCCTTATAAAATTTATAAAAATATATTTATTGAGATGTTAATTTGTTCATATTCTAGTTTGGATCACGCTAAACCAATTTACTCAATAACTTCTCAGAAAATTATATATCTGTTTTCAATAATTGTAAAAGAAGAGACCCGAAATGTATCACTTTGATCCATCTAGTAGTTCTAGAGTTAACAATGTTTCATTCAGATTATTATTTTGCAAGTATACAGGCATTTGTAATGTATGCTTCGACATTACGTAGCTAAAAAACTGTATATGGCCCATTTTCCTTTAAAGTGGTGTGTCGGATTATTTATTCGAGGAATATACAAACTGGGCAGAATATTTATTTTAATATTAAAGCAACGAACACGTTTAACATAATACCAGATCGTATTTATATAGTAAATACAAATTGATTAGTGTATAGTAAAAACAAATTGATTAGTGTTTGTCAATATTTTTAAGTTGATACAAACGCAAACTCTTAAATATTTCAATGTATGTTGAATTTAGTTTCAATAATATCTTGTTGCGCGCAATTAAACAATGAAGTGTATCCTCGTCAAATGCAGGACAAATGCACTTATAATATGTTCTAACGAAAAATTAAAGCGAAAGGAAGAAGAATTACATGTTTGTCAAAAAAATAAATAATCCATCGTTGAAAAACTCAGCATCATTTAGAGTTTTAACACTAATACTACCAGGCGAGTCAAACTGACTCATTCCTGGTGTCTTCTTTCTGCAATTGCTAAAAAGATAGCAGATATTTCTTTGAGAAATTATTTAAAAAATTGCTTTACCAATAGACATATTGAATTGTTAATCAATCGAAGTCTCGATAGATGCACTCTTAAAGTTTCTATAGAGAAATTTCAAAAAGTCAATTTAACTGTTCGATAGTTTAGTGTTAAGATGACGCGTATACTCGCTAAACGCAGTTAACTGATTAAAAAAGAAACTCTTCTTTCTCTTTTTATTAAAAAATTTGTCTCAAAATTTTCCAGGCGTATAATTGCATGATTCTCGCCTTATATCGCTCATTCACTTTAGCTTGTTTAAGAACGCGAAAAATGTGCATACATAGTTCCTTGCTGCAGCATTGCTACCATCAGCGTACATTTTACTGACCATTCGTTTCTTCCGCAATTCTCTGCCTCACAAATTCCTTTTACTCGAAGACCCTCGTGAGAAATAGCAAACGGTGTTTCAAAGTAGCGAAACTCTTTTCTCGCGTTATTGAATTCTCGTCCGTTCCACGGCAATCCACCAGGCCGACGTAAAATCGATTTGCTCAATCACCCACGCACGATGACGGACCGCATTGTCAACAGTCCAATTTATACAGGACCCGATATATCATCGCCTAATCGAATTTCATTTGCTGAAACGGTAACGAGAATATGCAAGACACCGGAATGCATCGACCGTCCTTTGCATGGTAATTACGTGCATCTAGTTGTTACAAAAATTTAAATAAGGCTTTAAATATTCAGAGGGTAACTTACCTGAAGAATAGCAAAAAGTGTAACAGGTAGGATTATCAGACTGCGGATCTTTATGCAACTTGAAATGTTTAAGAATATAATTAGGAAAGTAGAATTGTAATCGACAATATTATCCCTTAAGAAGCGTTATAAAAAGTACTACGTTTTGAATATTTTATAAATATTTTCGTATCATGTGCAGTCCGTGCAATTACTTTCAAATTTTGCATAAGTGCATAAAAATCCGTAGTTTAATTATAACGTTAGACGTAAAAGTTCAGAAATGGTGAAACGGGAGGTATGGAAAGAAAAGGTGATTTTTTCAGGGCAGTAATTGGATTAGTCATAAAAACTTCATAAGATCTTACTTTTGACGTGAAGATATCCTAATCGGTTTAGACAGATTTACATACGTGTGTACAAAATGTTCAAAATACTTTTCCTATTATTCTATAATGTGATATGGAAGTGATATGTGTAAATCTCACGTCTTGAGTCAATCCACTAAGCCAAAAGGTCACAGGGGCAAAGGGGCGCTTCCATTCACAATGCTCGTGCCGCCTCGGCTTTCGACGCATGGTCATTATTGGCACGCGGCAATAATGACCATGCATCGAAAACCGAAGCGGTCCGAGCATCGTGAGTGGAAGAGTCCTCTTGTCCCTGTGCACTTTTAAACCCTACGACACTGAAGCTGACGAGAGAGGCGAACTGCACACGATACATCCACGCATACTACGAAGACAATTTACCGAATGTCTCGTCCAGACAAATTGTAAAATGCATTGGAGATATTTAAAAAGGAAACAAATATCTCGAAAATTATCAATAAGCGAGATCGTCGCATACATGTGTAGAAAAAAGTTGCTCACAATGTCGATTTCTACAACACATTGAAAAAAGTGCCCCTGTGTATTTTCAGTTTTTAGGATTGACTCATGACGTGAGAGTTGGATAATACCTGTATCATTATTCAATATTATAATTCAGATATCTTGTAAATTAGTAATTTTTAGGTTTAAATGACTTAGAATTCTTGTGTAGAATATAGCTGTATAAATTAGTACTTATATTAATTAAAACATATATGATTTCATTCAAAACACAAAATTGACCTTCATATGCCTCCTACGCGTCCACAAAGAAGTTGCTTATACAAGATGTGTTCCATGAACTCACCAAACTTTTGTCCGACATATGTTTTTCTATCATCAATAATTTCGAAGATATTGGAATGGATCTATTTAAATGGCTCACTCAGTATCTATAGTATGGTGGTACCATATTTCATATCAAATTTGACTTAAAATGGACATCACTAGCAGAATGAATAAGCTATTACAAGCTATTTTCTTTAAAACCATAGCAAATATTGATGCTACATACTTTTTTTCAACTAGATTAGATAAGGATATTGATTATTTGGTGGACAACAAATTTTAGGGGGATGTCTGCTGAAAGGAAAAAGAATTTTACATAAATTAAATAGCTTATTAGTTTTACTTATTCATATAGCTCTTATCAAATTTGCGCAGTATTTACTTAAATTATTATTTTGGTTCTGCATAATCGACAAACTATACAACAGAGACACTTTTTCCAAGAAAACCTTGTGGAGGTATTAAAAAAATATAAATAAATATTTTTTAAGTGTTTTTTTTATTGTAAGTTAGGAATAATTTCGTATATATATTTCAAATATTTATTGAACCCTTTGTTACTAATGCATGTACGATACCTACATATAGATTCTTATTTTTGTATCTCTTTTTGTTATAGAAGCAGTAACTATTGTATCATTGTATACTTAGTACAAACCAATGAAGAGAACCTATGTAGTCAACTAGTTCAATTTTTTGTTAAATACCAAAGCAGATTAAATGAATTCAGTATATTCTAAGGGCTCTTACAATGAGAATGAATATTTTGTAAAATCTCTCTAAACATACAAAATGAAATATATTTGAAATAGATGTTACTCAGTTCTATCAGTGTCATCAAAACAATGAAAAAATTAGAAATTATTCAGTTAAAAAGAAATGAAGGATTGTTCTTTTGTTCCTCTGGTAACGTGCTGTGATTACACATTTCACCATTCGTTATGCAAGATATAAATTATGTGTTAAAGTTGAAACTGTTAGAAAAGTATATACAAATCGATATATGTATCTACGTATTTAACATATTGTATTTTGTTTATTGTTCGGGAAAGGAATTTGGTATTGAGATATATTCATATTTTACATGTTTACGGTGTCTTGCGATTTATGTTATTTGCATTTTGTGTATTTAATAAAAGTATTATTATTTCTTAAACACCCAACAGAAACAGCTTATTGATTATGCACTGTATCAAATACATAACAGCATAGTATCGGTTTCGTCAATACTTTTTAAAATATTAAAATAGCAAAACAGGGCGATGTTATGCCTAATAAATAATTTTTCTTGGTATTCCGTAGAGAACGATTCTTTTTCTGAATTCTAATCATCTCTTTCCATGCCATACGTGGAAGTGGAATCTGCCACGGAGAGGCTTATCGTGCGAAGACCTATCACGGAAAATTCCGCTGCAGAGAAGTATCATGAGCAGAAAATATTGGTAGAAAATCCGCAAGGGTGGCAAGCCCTAGCGTGGCGCGTGCCAGGCAAGCCTTTAATTAAGGCGACGCGTCTGAAGGTTTACGATGCGGCAATTGCTATTGAGGATGGTGGTCAGGGCACTAGAAGCGCACGTGTTTACTAAAGACGTACTACAATAAAGTGACCTCTAGGATCCTAGTTTGAAGTTAATGAACTGTCGATTGGAAAATGACGTTCATTTGAAAAGGTTTAAGTACAGTTTTATGTTTTGTTACTACCGTGCAATTCACTGAGACGGTACGCAGAGTAGGAAAGTTTATTTTCGATTGCATTGGTTGATTGAACATGCTTTTATAAACACCATCTCTTGTTGACCAACTAAGAAATGTTATACCTTTTTCTCCTCTACTGATTGCTTCTTTATGTTTTCTCTAACATACGTAACTGCTTACGGAGAATTAAATAAGGAGGATGGCGAGGGAGGCATAAGTAATTAGCTAATCACTAATCACATATAACTCGTGTTATAGGGGTTGAGAAGATAGTAAATAATGATGATTTAACCTTTTAGCTACGGCGGGACTAGCCTCGAAGCTGTACCTCTGTACGACAAGGTTTGATACAGTCTGCGTATCATAAATACTCACTGCGATTTGAGACTGATAGAATTTTCCACTTTGCAATTATATTAGATTAGAATATAATGTGCACAGCCTTCGATGAAAGAATTGAGTTCAAGAAGATGACATACACTATTATTAGATGATTGATAACATACAGTATTATACTTAATATAATAGAATAATACAAAATTAAGAAATAGAAGATTCACAAGGTTGCACATTGATAAAAGTTACATTGCGTATTAACCACTTGGGGTTAGGTAGGTTTAAAATTGTGTCACTTTTTTTACAGTTAAAGAGTTAGGACATAATAATATTTTGAAAAAATCGAAATATTTTTCTTGTTTTAAATAGTAGTTTCAAGTCTTGAGAACAGAATACAAAAGTTTTTACACGGATTCCAGACTTCAATGCAAATTATTTCTCGAAGTACCGTTTTGAGAGTGAATTCGTATATTTGCGCGCTTGTATATCTCCACATATTTCTATTTTACTTTCAAGTAAGAGAAGTTGTAAAAACTTCTGCTACCCCAGTGGAATCGCGTCACTCGTGTGCATAGGCTCTTATCCTGTATGTTGTGCGCGAAAACCTTCTTCAATTCACTTGTTTTTGATCTACTTCCTTCACTCAACTTGCCCACTACTGAAACTAACAACGATAGAAATAACTCGCCACTGAGGTCACTAAGGCAAGACACTAACGACAGTACATCAACTTTCAATACGTCTTCAAAATGTTTCTTTGGAGTTCTAACATAAAATACTCTCGAGCCATATGCTAGGCACCTAGTACAACTTGAAAAAAGGTCCATCTTCGCGAATATATTGAGTCATCCCATAAGTAATGTGGTTTTTAATATTTCTTTTATTTTTTAAAATAAAGATAAACAAAAATTTTTTTTAAATAATTGTAATATATGGATAGACAATTTATAGAAAGTAAAGGTGAATATGTTTCAGATGAAAAACAGTTCTGTTTATCTTTGATTTTAACAATAAAAAAATATGAAACGACGCATTATTTATGGGATCACCCAATGTTAGTTGAAAGTGTAGATTAACATTTTGTTGTATAAGATTTTATTTACTTGGAAAGGTAAATGAATGATAAAATTTTAGTTATTGCACTTGAGTTATTGTTATTTGTAATATCATCAACTCAAAAATAGGACTTCAATTGTTAAAACGGACTTTTCAAATCAAATAACAGAACGATTAAAATAAAATAAGAAAGATGCCATATCTACATAAATAAACATTAGTATTCTATAACATAAATTAAAATTCATTTCAGAGTGAGAGAATGAATTTATATGCAACTATATTAATGTGTGTAAATTGTTAATAGTAGTTTCTATGTATTCTAGAATTTATAAAACTTACTTTCTGATGAAACTGACTGTCAGAAACATTATTTAACATTCAAAACTGTCATCAAAATTCTAGTAAACTGAACAAACATCACTTGGTACTTATATCACAGAAAGATATTTCTCTGTTGTTTTTCATTTTCAAGATGCAATAAAAAAATCAACAACTACAAACAACATTTACAGGCTAGCATGTCAACACAGTATCAGAAATGTGTTCACCAGTTTTTCAGAGAATTGGTGTATTTTGTTCATGTTTTCTATAACTTCTTGAGTGTTATGTAAATCTTTTATATTGCTACATTTGAGTGTTTCGTAGTATTTTTAGACGCCATCGCGAAATCTTTGCTGGTGTCGGTAAACGATGCTGTGGAAACAAGGCTGATAGCATTAAACGCATCCACGGGGACGGTCATCAATGCAATATGGTTGGAAAGAAGCCCGGGTAGCGTCGGTGAGCCCTCAAAGGTTGAGAACCACGAACTCCAGCCGGGGTCAACACCAGATTCGAGTTTACCGTGGTTTGAGAATGCTGGTACCTCTACGGAATTGAGGTTCGATTAGTCACATAGTTTCAAAATCTGATGCACCTCCATGTTTTAAAGCATCTCCATGGATTCCGCATGCTTCAACAGATTAATTGTCATACTTTTTAACATATTGGTGATGTTAGATATCAAATATAAAACATTAATAATTTAATTTAAATAATAATTAGATAATTCAGATAATTTCAGGATTAACATTTAACATTTATTATAGCACTGTTAAATATATTTCCCATTTTTTAATTTATACCCTTGGAAATAATTATGGAAACATTTCTGCGTGAAATATATTTGTTACTTTCTTTTTCATTGAATATTGTTTTCATATATAAAATGTATCCAACAAGCTATTTCATATAATTTCAAATGATTATATTTTTTCAGCTGAATATTTCAAATAAATGCACAATTTTAAATAAATATAATCTATATTATATAATCAAATGATATATAACATAAGTTTAAATGAATTTCGTTTATAAATTGCTATAACCAATATTAATTAGAAACTTCGTAATAACAAATTTACTTAATCTAGTCTATTAATGCAAGTACATCAGACAACAAATTTATATTAAAACTTATCATATCTTAAATATGTTTCTAAAAATCAAATATAGTACGATGATAATGATAATTATAAGGTATTGGAATCAAGCTCAGTTTTTATTATTTTTAGTAAGTCTTATTCTATTATTATTGAATACACTCTACGGTGTGTTGAAAATTACAGTATGTTAAATAAATAACTGAGTGACTTTACAATGTAAACAGCTCATAAATAATGGATTATATAATTCTACATTTAATATACACAAAATTGTGTTAATATAATATAAGTAATAAACATGTACAGAAGTATAGAATCTGGTTTCATTTCATTCCAAAAAGATACATTTTTAATATTACTACAAACTCATCAGATGTTTACGTATTAGAGAAATGTATATCATAATAGTTTTTATAACGGAAAACATTTTCTACTTATAATTCAGAATCAGGTTAACGTCAAGTTCTTTAATAATATCTTACATACATTTATTATTAGAACAGTTAAAAACCAGATTTTCTGCTTATGAGCAATAGTGTCTTTAATTAATAAGTAATAACACACTCGTATATGTGTACTATACATGTATGTAGCTTTCCAAAAATTAGCACCTGCACGCACGCACACGCACTGAAGGACTTTTTGTTTTGCACTTCACCAATCATACTTGATTTTCATTTTCTCTTCCTGGCAAAAAAATAATAATAATGACGAAATATTACAAACAATATAATTTACGAACAATTAAAAATATTACTTTGCAATATTATTATGTATCGATATGACCTATTAATTAAATATTACCGTTTAATTTTATTCCTCTTATATATTGTAAAATAAAAATTTGTTTGTTGATTTCTTCGAAAACTTTCTGCAGTTTTGACTCGAGTACAAAGAAAGATATAAATATTATTGCCGGGAAGAGGTTTAACATTTTGTAGGCGCTCCACGATCATTCATCATCCCTCATCATCCCGTAAAAGCGTCAAGTCATAGAAACTTTGATACGCGAAAATGCAAAGACGTAAGCGTTTTCAGGTCTGGCCTCCTACTTCCGCCAAAATATCACAGTAATGATGATTACCGTACTGTCCGAATGTCTCAAAATTCGATGATTTATGATGATCATGAATTACGCACTGAACAGTGATAATACATACTAATAAACAGTGTACATGAAGGTTAGCTTATGGTGGAATTAAATATTAATTTTCTAACCAATAATGTTTATTTATAATAAGAATACCTAATGATAATAAAATAATAATTAAACATTGATACTTAGACATTAATCCGGTGAATGATATGTTAAAATTATTCCAATGAATATTAATAGCAATCCAACTACATTTGTCTAGATAACAAATTTGTGTAATTAATTTTAATAACTTAAAGTAAGTATTTGAATACCTGCTTGACTTTGAAATTAAATTATAGTCAATCAATATTCTAATTAAAACATCAGAATTAGATCAGTACTTATAACGAATACCAAAGTATGAAAGTACTTTTGAAATTACTTTGCTATACGGAATTATAAAATCTAATAATTTGGTTTCGTGTTTCCTAATCTAACAAGGAGAAGCTAATTTTAATAGTGCTTTAAATACATCTATACAAATTATAATGAAATACGTAAGTAATAATTTTCTTTAATCCGTTGAGTGGAAATAACGAGTCTCGCCCGCACGTGCTCTCTGCGCGAAAATTGATTTTGTACATTATTTTACAAATCTGCTATATTGCAAGTAAAATAATTTTCTTATTTTCATAAATAAATTTAATTGAACTTGTAATAATAAAATTTCCTTTACAATAACTGTATCTATACGATTGCAACAAAACTAAGTATTGTAAGCAGGAACATCTGAGTCGAAATAAATTGTAAAGCAAAGGGTTAACGTAAAATTACTTCAAGGATCTAAGCATTAAATTTGTGAATTGAATACTTATATGCTCGTAATCGCGAATACGAATTGTTTATTTATCTATGAGTGTCCACTGAATACAATTTACCATTAATGTATATTAACTTTAAAAAAGGTGATATAATTAAAATGGATCAATTTATTTAATATATAGTGAATTCAAAATTACTTGTTAATAATCAATGTGAAACTTGTACGTTATTAATCATGCTGTTGTGGAGTTTATTGTTAATTGTAAAATTTGATTTTGTTTTTGGGAAAGCGATAGCATGTATTTCTAACACACGCATAATTAACAAGATTTATTATTTAATTTTGGGGATCGTATATCATATTTCAATTACGAGACTTAACTGTGATGCATTTAACGCAAGAATTATGAACGTGACTTTCATTTTGAAGGGGATATAAACGCTTAAACAGACATTTACGATAATCAATACGTTATGGGTATACCGTTAGAGGATTTTTACGTGTGTATGCAACCCAGGAATATTTATAGCGTGCATCATACTCTAACTGTCGAATATAATATGGGATGACTTGAACAAATTGGAAATTGATTTTAGATAAAATTCGTTTTACACATTAGTAGATATTATATTTCGCATCACATTTAAACCAGTTTACAATTATTTATTAGTTTGTGGAAAATACATAATTTAAAATCGAAGAAATATCTAATTTTAAGACACTTAATATTTCTCGATTACAAAAGTCCTAATAGTACATATTGCTTTATAAATTATCATATATATATATATAT